GTGATTCTTCCCCCCCGCCACCGGCACAGGTGCAGGGCCTGATTTAGCCGGGCAGAGCTGCAAATAGCACGGGGTGCACGCGGCAGCTTCCTCCGGCACCCACCCAAACCGTCCCCCCCCTCCCCCTCGTGCCTCAGCGCCCCGGGCGACACCAGCCCGAAGGCACTCCCACCGCCATCACCCTGAGTCGCGCCGTGCGGATGCTCAAGGCCACTTGCGGGGTGTCCTTGTCCCCACCGTCTCTGCCATCCCAGCCTCACTTGGCCAGGCCAGACCCCAGCACGGCACTGGGGCCACGCAGCCCCGGCCCAAAAGGCCACCGGGTCCCTTTTTTGGGGCACGAGGCCAGCCAGGAGCCCTGCTCCATCCCTCAGCAGCACTGTCCCCGTTCTCCGGGCAGGGAGCTGCGGGGATGAAAGTGAGGGAGGAGGATGCTCTACAAAACACACAGAGGAGCTGGCAGCCGGACTCCGGCCAGATCCTGCTCCGGGGCTGGCGGGACACGATGCTGGCCGAGCAGGGACAGCCCCGGCAGCAATAAGGGACACTTTCTCTGCTCACGCCCGCGGTGCTCGGCTCCGCTTTTAATGTCTCCCGTGATGTAAGGCCTAAGAACCCTCCCCAGTGGCCGAGAGCGGTGGGGGAACGGGCCAGGCACCATGTCCCCCGGCCCCAGAGCCACCGGGGAGCTGCCTCGGGGCTTTGGCGACCCACTGCAAAAGTCCAGGTAGTCCTGTCCGATGGTCTCGTGTCCCTTCTCGGGGTGTTGCACCGGCATGGCACGGCATGGTGCAGCACGGCATTGCATGGCACTACACAGCACGGCACGGTGCAGTACGGCACAGTGCAGCACGGCACGGCGCGGCACAGCATGGCGCAGCACGGCATGGTGCAGTATGACATGGCACGGCACGGCGCGGCACAGCACGGCGCAGCACGGCATGGTGCAGCGGCGCGGCACAGCACGGCATGGCACACTGATGCAGCACAGCATGGTGCAGCGCAGCACAGTGCAGCATTGCACGGTGCAGCATGGCACAGCACGGTGCAGCACGGCACCACACGGCGCAGCACGGCACAGCGCGGGGCTCGCTGCCCTCTCCGGGGCAGCTGCGCACAGTGAGGGGCTCAGGACGCCCCGCAGCATCCCCCATCCTCGTGCCGGGCCAGCAGCGACATGCGGGAGAAGGTCCTGGCGCAGGCGCGGCACCGGTACTTCTTGACGTCCGAATGGGTCTGGAGGTGGGCGCGGAGGTTGGAGCGGTCGGCGAAGGCCCGGCTACAGTGGGGGCAGGCAAATGGCTTCTCCCCTACGGGACATGCGGTCAGGGCACCCCTGTACCCAAGGTCCCCCCAAACCGCCATGCCCCGTCCCCTCCCGCGC